TAGGGTTGATATTGTAATATAATATTTTTTGTCTTTTATGCTCAGCAGGGATGCATTTATTTGTATCAGAAATAGGTTACACTTTATTTTTAGGTGATGTAGTGACATTGTACTTCCTCAAATAAGTAATTAATTATGAGTTATGATTAGGGTTAGGGTTTGGTTTAGGGTTAGTTACTTGCAATTATGCATAATTTACTGTTATACTATAGTAAGTACATGTAACTAAGGCTATGTTTACACGGAAACGATCTGAAGAGAAAACGCAAAAGTGGCATTGCGTTATCACTTTTTATTCTGCGTTTAGATGAGCGTTATGGGTGGGGAATCTGCGTGCATATGGTGACGCAAAAGTGTGTGAAATTCGATGTAGTATGCACTCCAGGCGGCTAGGTGGCAATGTGAAGCAGATCTGTGCCTTCACTGTATAGCAGACTTTTGCGTTTTTACCCTTACGGGAACGCGACGGTGGAGCCACTCTGGAGGGTCTCTGGAGCCACTTCGCCGTGTAAGCGAAAGGGACATCTGATAAAATATTTTTACGTTTTCACCCGCGAGCGTTCTCGTGTAAACAGGGCCTAAGTTACCTTAAAATAAAGTGTAAAATTTAAAATAACTGTTTTATGTTTTAATATATTTTGAATTTTTTACATTTCAAATCTGGATTTGTCAGCAGCCATTATTCCACATGATCCTTCAGAAATCATTGCTGTTTTGTGCTCAAGAAACATTTCTAATTATTATCAATGCTGCTTTATATTTTGGTAGAAATCAATATTTTTTTTTCCAGGATTCTTTGAATAGAAAGTTCAAAAGAAAAGCATTGATTTGGTAAGATTATAAATGTCTTTACTTGTTACTTTTTTATTAATTTAATGCACCCTTGCTGAATAAAAGTATTGCGGTTTCACAGACAAGGCTTAAGCCTATAGTCCCAGACTAAAATGAATGTTTGAGCTGTTTTAACTGAAAGCAACTTGCACTGAAATATCTTAAAATATGTCAGTGCCATTGTTTTTTTTTTTTTTACATTTCAAAGTATGTAGATAGATACAATTGATTAAATGGATATAACAAAACAGAGAAATAAATGTCAACAGTTACAGAAAGAAACATTTTGTATTCAAGGCAATGACATCATTGCACTATAATAATAATAATTAGATGGATCAAAGAATAATTTCAAGATAAGATAGGAGAGAATGAGATAGATAGATAGATAGATAGATAGATAGATAGATAGATAGATAGATAGATAGATAGATAGATAGATAGATGGATGGATGGATGGATGGATGGATGGATGGATGGATGGATGGATAGATAGATAGAGTAGACATTAGAACCTTTCACTTTATTTAGTTTAAAAAAAATTTTTATTGTGGAACTATTAAATAAAATATTTTTTTGTTGTTGTAATGGCGAGACACTGGCAGAGTGCAAGACTTGTGGGTGTGGCACTGCAGCGTGCCCATGGACGCCGGTCATAGAGGGAAGTAGGGGGCTGTTGCAGCATGCCTTTCTCTCTTCCACTCTCTCAGTGTCCCGCCCCCTATGCCACTGCCATCTATTGGCTTTCCCAGAATGCCCTCTGTCTGAGAGCACTGGCCTGAAATAAAACTATGAGGGCCTGCGCGTAGAGAATGGGAGCTTTGTCTCAGCTGCCATTTACACTGTCTGGGGGCATAGAGACAGAACTCAAAGAGAGTGTCTGATTGCAAATTAGCACAGCCCAGGGCTCAATGCTCCATGCACTCATACACACTCACGCACTGGCGGTGTGAGGCGTGGAGAAAGTTCTGCATTAAACGCCGCTGAAGATCATTACGCTCTTTCGTTCTATTGAATAGTGCCCCATTTCAGTCAGGGGCACAAAAAATAATTAGCAGCAGGCTTCTCTTGAGCTGACTTGCGTGTGACCAAAGCATTTGTGCTTGCTTAGTATGCAAGTGATGCCGGGTCTGAATTTGTGATAAGCTGAAAAAGACAAAAGGTGCAGCCGGTGCACTGCAGGAGCGACGTCTCTACATCAGCGGGCTCCGCGAGTGGGCCTCTCACTACGTTTCGGTGTGATTGACATGTGTCAGAGAGGATCACATGCAATTTGTTACATGAAGACTCTATTTGGCGTGAGAATTCACCGTCTTTATCTTACAAATGCAAATGTAATCATTTTGAATTGTTTGACCTATATGCGGCGCCCTGGCCAACTGTTTTCAAGGTAATCGGCTGCCCGAGGAAGCAATTTAACCGGCACAAGGCCGTAAAGGTTGTGTGTATTAAATGTCATAATCAAATCTTCCCTTGACTTTCTGGTTTATAAATGTGGAGCACTTGCTGCCTACCCTTATTTCTTGCATGTATTTATTTATTAAAATTGAGTCATGTAATGCTGGAGACTACAGTGGTTCAATAATAAGTTTCATGTAAACATGTGATGCCATGTGAACTCAACAACCCTTTCAGAATAATCTGCTTGCCACCATCTCCTGTTAATTCCCATGAGGCCACTTTGTGTAGTAGGACATAAACACACGCGCGTTCACACATAGGACATAATTCGCCCTTTTAATCTGATTAGCTGTGTCTGTATGGATGAACCTGTGGGTTCATTGAGTGTGTTCCTCTTCTTCTACTTTAACCACTGGCAGAGTGGTGAAGCAATGACACCAGTATTCATAGGGAAAGTAATCTGATTTTTGGATCCAGAGGGGAAAAATGCAAGGTAAATTGTTCTTAAAATACATTTTAGCCGTCATATCTGTCAACCACCATCCTGTATGAGAACAAATATTTTCCTCAAGTGTTAAATGTTAGTTAGGCCTATTTGTTATGTCAGTTCTAAACTTTTTTTTTTAACTTGCATTTCTTTCAAAAAGGAATAATAACTAAATAAGGGTGATCAAAGCTTTTATGTGATTTATTTTCGTCTTTGTAATAAAATTTAAAACAGTATCTAAAAATGTCAGCCCAAAAAAGTAAACTAATTATTTATTCTGTCTTCTGCCCATTTTATTGGAAAAATATTGCCTTGTTTAAAAAAACCTTTTATCTGTATCTGACAGATAAAACAGTTCTCTGCCTGTTTTAAGTGGCTTTGTTAAATAATTTCTTACGAGCAAGTATTGTTTAAAAATACATTTGTGAAATTGTTATTGCTGACTATGGGCCACAAGGAGCCCTGAAGCAGGAAAAAAATCTAACTAATGCTCTTTGAGAGTCAATAAAAAGGATAAATTAGAATATTAAATGCCATCTAAAGAGTTATTTCCTCAACAGTTTAGCGTTGGAAGTTAAAGTTGTTTTATGTACATTGTACATTTAAAATGTTTTACACATTCTGTATGTATACTGAACATCCAGACACAAATTCTTAATTTAGCCTAACATTATATTTAAAAATGATAAAAGAATGAATGCATGACTCACTTGTTACTTAGCCACAACCAGGTGAAAATGCCCTTTAGAATGCCTTTGATAGTGTGCACACACACACACACATAAAGGTTTAACACCAAATCACCTGATACCCCGAAGCCCTTCTGACTTAACCCATTTAATCCTCCTGCCCCCATTTGTCATCAAAAAATTACTTTGACAATTCTGTAAAAGTAAATTTTGGTCACATAATATTTTATAAAAGTTCTATAAATGAAAGTGCTTTAATATAGCTGATGTAAATAGTCACATGACCAGAGCTGTTTAATGCCAGTTTGCCCTTCTGAAAGATGTCTGTGTCAAAGCTACCAAAATTCATAATATAATATTTAAAGGGTCTATTTTTTCTCATATAAATCATCACAATAAACATGTAAATATGTCAGTGGTCACATTTTTAAGTAGTAACTGATTGATTCATTCACATTATAAGATGGCAGACTTTGTCTTTTTATTAAAGCATTGTCACACATTACATGAAACAGTAGGATACAAATCCATATTAATATCCCCAAAGTTGCCTGACAGTAAAAAAAAAAACATGACCATTAATGTTACTTTATTTTTTTGTAACTTTCTTTTGGGTCTTATTGAGCAACTGTTTACAGAAACAATGAGCAGGGAAAAAAAAATCATATACTTTTACCAACAGTTTAACCTTTTTTTTTTTTTTTTTTGAAAATGCATAACGTTAGTTTATTTCATTGTATAGGCTACTATCACTTAGCTGGGCCTAGGACAATTTTGGGGTTTAAACAGGTTAAGGGTGGATTACAAGACCTGGGACACCTACAAACATTCATGAAAAACTTTATAGAATGTTTAAACGCCTTTAAATATTTCTTATGTAACTTAGTTTAGCTTATTTGTACTAAAATGTACGTACAATATTTTATTATTACAACATACGTCGGCAAGGCAACATGTAACGTTAGTTATTTATTTTATGGATCAGCAAATGACCAGATATGATTTCAAACACCTTCTTTATTAATTTTTTTTAGTATCAAACATCATGGATGTTCCTGAACCACACTTTTATTTACTATATTTACTTATTTTTATCTACGGTAAATAAAAGCTCCTCAAGTCCAAACTTTTACCTCAGATTTGTCGTCGGTTTGAAAACGGACTGCATATTCGTCGAGCTGAGGTAAATCTGCCGAACGGGTCGACCTCGACGAGCCCGTTAATTAAAAAATTAAATATAAAGCCCACGGCCACCATCATTATATATCCAATATGAATAAGAGTAAACTGTGTTATTTGTGCTGATATTAGATAGGTCAGCGGCTGCTGTCTGGCTCTTGTGTAACGGTCGCTGCGCGCGCTCGTGTGTGTGTGTGTGTGCGCGAGCGAGTGAGTGAGTGAATCACAGTTAGTTCACCTTAGTTGAACTTGTGTGATCTAGTTCACGGTAGTGTGAGGCTGTTGGTCCGGTCCTATGGCTGTTGGGAGAGTGAACAGATCTTCTTGATCATTTAAAAAAAAATCTAACTAACTTTACCCCTAAAAGACGCAGTGTGTCGTCATGTTTTTGTCTAGATGGGAAGGTTGTGATAGTTTGCTCACGGACGGGTTGTATTAACGGTCGTGTGTTAATCTAGCAAAAGTGTCCGCGCGACAGGGAATTTCAGCCTGAACTTGAATAATAACGGTCGTCGTGGTTTATTCACCGACCCCCGTCAAGTTTCTTTTGTTTGTTTATATTGCCGTTTCTAACAACAACTAAAGGAGTACGAATGACCTAGATGAAGCTAAGAAGCGGATGAAACGCGGACGTAAATAATGTAAGTTTGCCGTTATCATATTGGTCCCGTCGGTTGATTTTTTTTCATTCTATTTTTGCTTTTATTTTGCTGTTACGCTTGAAATGATATGCGCCAATGATACGAAGCCGGCATATGTAGCATTATTGAACCGTAGCCTAGTTTTCACAGCTTGTTTTTTTCCTGGCATCAAATGTAAAATATCTGTCAAGCACGCACTCGAATCAAGGAATAGTTCATTTTATTAGTGCACGTCGAATAGAATAACAGAGTAATACACACATCAGACATAGAAAAAGAGGTCAGTTTCTCGTGGCCAGACGTTTTTGTTCACGCTTTTCAAATAATCGATCGTTCTGCTCTCGTTTGGGTTTGTATAACGTTAGATTCTTCTCTTTTACTGAATGCACCATGAGACGGATCTAACGTTAGGTCTTCTCGTTTAAAAGAGAAATTAATCTAGTTTGTGTACTTCATAAATGGGGTGTCTTACTGAAAGATTTCTGCCAAACCAATGTCTTTTTTCACAGACTATTTCATCCCGTCTCTTTCAAACTGAGATTGTCTACAATGTTTCATGCAACTTAGTGAAATTAATTATTTAATCTCAACAAATGTAATTATTATTAAAATAGAATATTTTATGTCCCCTTTGTATTGAAAATTCATGCTAATATCTTAGTTTACATCCTTGTATCATGCATAAACAAAGTCCTCAGCCACTTTTGGTTGATCATAATGCAGTTATTTAAATACATTCCACTTATTTGACATGGTTTTATTTCCTTAAATGCATATTGCTATTGTTGTAGACATTTTTTTTTTTTTTTTACAGTCAGTGAGAATATAGCTTATTCTGAAATGTTAGACTGTGTGTGTGTGTGTGTGTGTGTGTGTGTGTGTGTGTGTGTCTGTGTTGCAGTGGTGCTTGAAATGGCGAAAATCTTTTTCGGACTCGACCCAGAGATGGAATGTACGTCCACCTTTTATCTGGTAAGATTTTATCTTTAAATATACAGTGTTTAATTTTTCATGGTGAGCAAATCGGTATAAATAATTGAATGTGATAATAATCTGCTGTTATATGCTAAAAAGGAAATTACAATTTTCTGTACTTCTGTATACTGTACATCAGACAGAATGTTAGAATAAAGAAGCCTACTGAATAACCGAGACTGCAGTTTCAGGCGCATTTATTGCTTTGCCTGTGTGTATGTGTTTTGTAATGTATTATTAATATATTTGAAAGTGCATGGATTTGTGTATCTCATTTTGTGTCTGTGAGGTATTACTTTTAGTTGACTAGTCGAACACCTCTGTGTGTTGCACACACATGCTATAACATGTTAACCACTGTCCTTTGAGATTTGTTATGCTGACTGTGCGTTTTCCACGTCAGGCCTGCTTATTCTCTAATTTCCTTTTGTTAATAATTTTTTGAATTTGTAATAGTTTAGAATTCGTTGTCAGTCTGTTTGAAGGTGCATTAGAGAAATTCAGCTGTAGTTGTCCTTATCATTGCTTGGTTGCATTTTATGGAAACCAAAAATATCTCTTCCCTCTTATTTTCTGTTTAGTGTTAGGGGGGTATTTCTAAGTTTGGGGATGTTTTAGGTATTTTTTGAGGTTTTACATGAAACCTCAGTCAGATGTTTTACATATGTTTGCCTCTTAATGTGATCCAACACTCACTGTAAACAGTGCCATGCATTATTTTGAAGGGCCTGTGTATCTTTCTTTTTTCCACAATCATTTTTCTAGTCGTATACCTTCTGACAGAGGAGTTCAGAATGCTGATGTGAGCACTTCAAAACAACTGGGAAAAAAAGAGAAAAAGGTCATCAGTCATTTGTGCAATCTGTTTCCACTTGTCTTAATGTTGTCACTCAGCACTTGATTTATCTTGCCAAAAATATCTTTTCATTCACATCTCCTGTCGGTGAAATAACCAAACCACCGTTGAGCACAGAGCTTCGTAACCCGAGGCGGGAAGGATCGGGCCAGGCCGACGCTGAGAGCACACGACCGAGGCCAGATTGCAGGTCTGGCTGACTTTGTAAAGTGTGTGTGCACACTGTAAGTGTCTTTCCATGACTGGCCCCTGGTGCTACAGCCACGCCAAACTGTCAATCCCACAGGAATGTCTCCCCAAACTCTCTGCAACAGATGACAGAAATTTGGCATATGTTATTGTCATATTCTTTTTCTCTCAGACTTTTTCTTCATCCCTCCTCTGCTTTTGTGCTCGGCTTCAGGTTTTTCTGTGCGCTCTCCCATTTTTCCCTTGCTGCATTTCAGCAGAGACAGAAGGCCAAGCATGTAATGTGTCAACATGACCTGGACTCTGTACTGTAATCTGAGCATTACGCTTGGCCTTTCGAAATGATTTGATAATGACGCCGACGGCTCGTTACCGGCATCTTTTGCTAAAACACTTTGAAAATCGCCAGATAATTGAGGAAAGCCAACCGAGCCCTTTGAGATTACAAAGAGGAGAACAGTCCTACGCGCTCTTTGCGCCGGCGAAGTCATAAATTCATCTGTCTCGTAGCTGGCCTGCATCCAAGCTAGTTTACCTCAGCTAACCCTGCGAAAAAAGCATTCATCATTTAAAATTTAAAATGCAATCGCCACAGAGAGAGGAGGCGCCTCGGCTAACTTGTCACATCCACGCAATCAATCCTCGCTTTTGTGCAGCTCTCGGAGATGATTTGAGTGGCCTGTAGTGTCAGCTGAGGTCAGGGGCGTGTCCTGAGCTTTTAGCCTGTAGCCTGTCTGAAGCTGGCACTAAATGGTTGCACAGATGTGAGGAAGAGCTGTTAGAGCGCTGCATGTCCGACAGGAGTCTGGAACATTACAGATCACTGGGGGATGTGCCTAAGCTGCTCAGATTCATGGTGCAGCAGAGGACAGTCAGACTGACACACATTCTGTAGTCACTGGGTTGCGTTTTACCTGTCATGCTGGGAGACATCAGGTGACGCATTCTGTGCGTGCTTGTCCTCTGTGAGTGCATGTGCATGAGGTAACTGAGGTCATGTGTGTGATTTATGTATGTCAGCGTGTGTGCGCGTTCGTTTTAGAGAATGTGTGGGTATGAGCGAGGAGCTCTTAAGTGCTTGACCTAATTTCGCAGGCAGAGAAGAATTCGACAGTGAAGGCCTTCCTCTGTTAGTGTGAGGTTGCTGTGCTGGGTGTTTCCTCCCAGGGTCTAACAGGAAGCTCATGTTTGAGTTCATTTGAGGACAGGGAGAAGGCTTTTCTTTCCACTGTGGATCATTCTAGAGAGGGGGAGAAAGCCAGGGCCTCAGCTCTGAATCGCCCTTCTGCAATCTGGCATGTTTTAGCTCCTTATACTGCTGTATTGTCTATTTTGGCTGAACTTAAGTTTTTTTTTTTGCTCCTGCCAAGAAAACATCTATTTTTTGGGCTTACAGTGAGCAGGAGCTGAGATCCCAAGTCAAAAATGACTTAATGAATCCTGTGAGCAAATGAAACAATCCTCTGCAGGGTTCTCTCCTGCTTCCTTTGGTTCGGTTTTACATTCCATGCTCAACTGAGCCGGGTCGTGACCCGAGAAAATGCTGTGCTGTTCGCGGTGGTTTTGGATGAATATTCGCAGCACAGATGAGCTTATGGACGGTTCTTGAAATGAATTAAAGTGCTTGTGCTTTTTCATTGAGTTTAAGTAAATGTTCATGGGCTGTGATTTGTTGTTCACAGGTTCGGGGACTTTGGACGACTCTGACAGACATGCTTGACTACGCAGGTGAGAAACAATTTGACAAACTAAAGTGACCATCAACATACAATTTGCAGTGCCACTCCTTGTCACAATTGGCCAGTAAATTAACTAAATTCATTTCTAAAAAATAGTGATCTAAAATAATTTTTTTTAATATCATTTAACAGATTCTTTTAAGAAATAAAACAGGCATATTTTATGCAACTTTATATTGTTCCATTGAAAATATTTGGAATGTGCAAATATTTAAACTACTGTGTGAATATTATATAATTGTGCAAAAGCTGAGATGTTTCTTTTACAATAATAATTGTTGTACAATCTTAAGTGCATATTGCAGCCTGTCTGCAGGCCTGCAGTGTTCGTGTGGTCTCTTTGAAATGTGAATTCTGTGTGGGAGGCCTCTCTATTCATCTTCTGTGAACGTTTCATGTTGGTCGTTTAGTGAAGTAAGAAGATATCAGGTATTCTAGACATGTTTTTTCCAAATTAGAATGTACATGATATGTGCTGCATAATCCTAAATGTTCTGACACTTGATTACATGTTCAGAACATCATACGCAGATCAAATCTTTCATCAGACAGTGGGGTTGTTCAAATCTAGGGCACGTCTTTGAGAGCTTATTTCTATGGTGGGCAGAACAGAAAAATGATGAGGATCGACCTGTTAGTCTCCCATTGCATCAGTTTGACTGAAATTAGAGGCAGATTTGGGATGAAAGGTTTGCAGTATCCTGATTGTCTGAAAATTATCGTTTCAGCGTGCCTGTGCTTATAACCACACTGATCAAACATGATTTATCTTAGTGGTCAAGTTGTCTGATTTGCAGGGTTGGTTTTTTGCTTCTTTGTGACCGTCTTTCTCTAACTCTGTTCATCGCTGTCTTGTAGGTTGACATGTTGGTTGTTTCATGGATTTTGAAGTGTGTGAAATTAGCATGACATGAACTAAACATTCTGTCTTTGTGGTCTTTTACTTGTGCAAAACATCCCAGTACCTCCAAAATGATTTTTATTTATTTATTTAAGAGTCAGTGCTCCCAAACTTTGTAAAGATAAGAAGTATTAGGATGTTTGCGTTGCGTTTTTCGACAACCTCAGTGCGTGTATTGTGCAGCGGAGAAAAAGAAAGAGGAGACTGGTTTATGAAGATGCAGTGTCTTTATCACTCAATCATCTAACGGTCTCTTTCACACATTATACCCATTTCCTTGTCTCCTGCAGTGTGGATGTACTCTCAGGTCATGTGCCGTTTACAGGTGTCATCCAGATGTTTTCTTGCGTGTTCTGATGCTCCCTCTGTTAGTACTTAATGTCATTTTTTGCAGAAATGTTCCTGATGTCTAGCAAAGAGTATCACTCTCACATAAAGAGTATCACGCTTGAAAAAAAAGCAAAAAATATATAAAATTTTTTGTGCAGAGCTAACACGTGTGGCATAAACATGACCAGCATGACACTGTCACGGCTGGTTTTCTCCCAGTTTTTGCAGTCATTTCCCGTCTGTGCAGAGTGTTCTTTGAGCTACACGCTAAAAGGATCAATAGTAAGAAACAAAATATCCATACGGTGGAACACACTTAGGAATACTTGATTCATGAATCTGTGTTTTTTTGCATAATGACCGCTTGGCCCATCCAACAAATTTCCTGCATAAATGTGCTAGGCTCATGTCTCATATTTCATGTCTCATAATGAAATTATTTAAACCCAAATCAATATTTCATGTCCGTTTATTATTATTATTTTTTTCTTAAGTAGCTGCATTTATATAATTCTAAGTAATTCATATATTTCATATATATATATTTTATATATGAATTAGTGCTGTCAACGTTAACGCGTTAATGCATGCGATTAGTTTTTGGCCAGTTTAAGGTGATAAATTATTTAACTCAATTAACGAAGCATCCGTTTTTTCTGTCATCCTTTGGTTAGCGTTACATTATATGAGCGCACTCTTATTCATGCAAATGCTTTTAAACCATTCCAGCGTGACAAGACAAAAGAACGCGCTGCTTGTGAATGTCCTCTCTGTGACACACACGACGCACAGAAAGACACATGTCAGTATCGTGCGCACAGACAGCGCGTCAGTATCGAGTTCTCTTTTGCGCGAGTATCCTCATTAAAGCAGTCTTAAATGAGTTAAATAAAGTCTTAAATGAACGTAAAGAGTTTTGAGAAAATCAGAGTCGTGTGAGATCCGCGTCATGTGCATCACCGGCAGGTCTTAAAGTGACAGCAGCCACTAATGCTGTCTGTCATTTAAAGTTAATCAAAGAACAAAGCTAACAGAGAAAATTACTCACTGCTCTTGACTAAAGAATTTTTGTAGCTTTAATAAGGAGTAATCTATATTTAATTGATAATGTATGCAGTGCAAACTGTTTGATAACTTCATTATTCAATTTCTGTATATTTCACAGGGTACAGATTAATATGACATTTATTATGGGTTTATGTGAGGATTGTTTTAAGTTCAGTTAAATGAACCACTCCAATTAAAAGTTGTTATATTTTTTGAAGCCTAATATATATATTTTAAAAAGGTAGCTTTCAATACACTGTAATGTTGAATGACTATAATTAATGTTTAAAATTGGGGGTGGGGGAAATGATTTTCATCAAGACATCCGTCCCTGTATTAATATCAGTGAAACTGGCCTTCATTTATAAAAAGATGCCATTAAACAAGTATTTAAAATATACTGTCTTTTTTCTACAATAATTTGGAGATTAACAGTGAAATTATTACATCATAAAATATATTAAAAACGTATTAATCACAGAAAAAAATGTGTGATTTAATCTAGTTAATTTTTTCAATCGATTGACGGCACTAATATGAATACACATTTGTAATATAATATAATAAATATATTTGTTTTATTTCCATATAATTGAATTAAAGTCTATCACTTACCTACAGTCCTAATTTTTGCAATTAAGTTTGTCAAGGTAGACTTTGGGTCTGTTCACACAAGACATGCTGTTACATTTGTCTGCAAAAAAATGATTATTTAAAATCTGTTAACACATGCAGACAGACAGACAACTTAGACTGTTTTTTCATATCATCCTGTTTTTTCAGCATCTTGCACAATGAGCACCATTTTTTAAGATAGTGTCAAGTTAAAAATATTGCAACTTTGAAGAATTGCATTTGATCTGTTCTGCTCCATCCAGCTGTAATGCAAGAACCCATTCTTTGCGACTGTGAGCGGCTCCATCTGCTCTCCGTAGGTGTGGTTTGATGGAATTGGAATTTCATATAAATTTCTTATCATAGCAAAAGCTTCCAAATCAACCATTGCAACATCCAGACTTCTTCCCGACTACAGTGAGTCAAGAATTTGCACTGACAAAGACCAAATATGGACTGTTTAGTTAGCATAATGATTATGAGAGTCGGAATTCCTGACAATATCTTATGTAGTAATAAAATCATACAGCTTGAGCAGAACAATGTCCTTGAGACATTTCATTCTTGGAGATCATAATCAAGCATACATTTTTATTACATAAACTTTTTGTTTGGCATGTAATAATTTTGCACAGTCATAAATTGTTTTATCAGCAAGTGAGCTGTTTGTGCCTAATTGCGTTTTAAAATAATTTACCTCAGCTCACCGTCAAATTATGTCTATTATGATTTTTATTTGATTGACATTATATGTCCTGGAGAACTTATTCAGGCGTCATCATCTACCTATCTGCTGGTTATAATGACAATTGACAAATGAGTAATGTTGTTTGTCACAGCGGTATTTGTCTTACATATTACATATCCTTTGCTTATAGTTTTTTTTTTTTTTTTTTTTTGCAGAGTAATGTCATTTATCATCTTTTTAATGCTGTTTTATCATTTTTGGAAACTAAACGCGCTATTTTTTGTCTTTAAAATTGTTAAATGTGACGTCTCCTGACTTATTACCTGCCTATCCAGTGTAATAAAGCTCTTTCCAGCACTTTAATTGTAAAGATCCTCCCTTTCCCTTTCAAGTGACCATTGTGTCAACTTTAAGCAGTTGCGTTTGTTATTCTATGATGGATTGCCATATAGGTTTTCTGCACAAAGCATTCAAGACTAAAAGTTTTGGCTGTGTCAAGTAATATTTCAAATAACTGAAAAGGACAAATATGTTTGATTCCCCCCAAAAAAATGTAAATGCTGGCTCTGTGATGCTATTAAAACATTGCTCTTTCTTTGAGCATCCCTGACACGGCAACATTGGCTTGACCAATGGCATTAGTTTGTGCACAATTTCTTTTGAGGTGCAGAAATTGTGATTTTTGTATTCATACATTCAGCAAATTCTTAAATGAGAATCATGACATGAAAAAAAAATCCTAAGGGGCTGATCACACAGAACGCGTTTTTTTTCTTTTCCACTGCGTTACTTTTCCATTGGTTTTCAATGTAAACACTTTCTAGACCAGCGTCTTTAACCGTTGTGCTCGCATCTCACATCATCCTTTGCAGCGTCTCGAGCATGACATGGCATTCTAAAAATACGCGTCTCAAGGCACCACTCTTTTGAGTCTTGTGTTTTTAACAGTAAAAATGCATTCTGTGTGAACCTGCCCTAACACAATAAACAACAAAATTGTTTTTAATACAAGCATCCAATGAAACTCATAGATTTTTTTTTTTTTTTTTTTTTTTTTTTTTTTTCATAAGGCTGTTGTTAGTGTTGAGTGTGAAGGCCCAGCTCCAGACGAGGGCTGCTCCATGGGTAGGCCAATGTTGCATTGTTGGCAGTGGCTCATTTGAATAGCCCTTTAGTATTTTCTGTGAGCAAGTCAGCGCCATTTGCATTTGTTCCAGTCACAAAGGTTTACAGGTCAATAGAGACCAAGCTAACATGCAGAGGAACCCTCTCTCCTCTTATTCTCCTTTCTCTCAACCTTCTTTTGCCCTTCCTTGGTTGTCATGATAAACTCTACCCGTCTCCCTGGGAATGTGTTTGTGCATACGTGTGTGTGCGTAGCAACACCTCAGATGTCTGGTGAGTGATT